AACAAACAAACAAACAAACACCCTCCAGAGTATTCCAGAAAATGGTTGAAACATTTCTTTAGGCCTTTTCTGATGTGAATACTTAGCATGTAGGACTCTGTGACTGGTGCTCCTCAGAGCTATGTTTTAGAAGACTTGCTCTCACTTCTAGTCCAGAGTACAGCCCAGATGGCAAGACGGGGCACGGAAACCAGCGAGGTGGCTGCTGTGTGTCCATTTGTTCAGTCATTCAGCAGACGTTTGTGGTCAGCCTGCTGTGTGTAAAGTGCTGGAGGTGAGGCTTGGTACTCCACGAGGTACTGCCTCTGACCTGGGAGGCATCAGTTTCTCCCAGATTATAACCCCCAAGTCTGAGACAGACCCTGGATCGGGGAGGGACTTCAGAAGACCCAACAGGGACGAGGCAGAATGGAAAGGAGGGTTGAGCCCCTTGTGGAGTGGGGGTGAAGGTCCAGCCCATCCGCAGGGCCCTGGAGCTTGATCTCTCCTCTCCTTTTCCAGGAGATACGGGACAGCAGGCATGGCAGGCAGCAGCGGAGATAGTATCACTCGCCGGAGTGTGGCATCCCAGTTTTTCACACAAGAGGAGGGGCCGGGCATCGATGGCATGACCACCTCAGAGAGAGTGAGCACGGAGAGAAGGGCTTGGAATGGGGAGCCACAGCCCCTGTCTTGGGGCAGTCCACCCCCAGGTGACGGGGCCCAGGGGGTGCCAACGGGGCTGGGCTGGCCAGGCTGGCACCATCCCCTGCCTCTCCCCTCCGTCCAGGTGGTGGATCTCCTGAACCAGGCGGCACTGATCACCAATGACTCGAAGATCACAGTACTCAAACAGGTGAGGGGGTAGGGGGATGCTGGACGGAGCAGTGCGAGGGTAGGGGGTGGTGGGAACATGCGCAAAACAAGATGCTGGCGTAACACCGGCATCCACGTTTAAGCATTTAGAATGTGCTTGCTGTGGTGCTCAGTGCCATACAGGCATGTTCTCACTTAATTCTCACAAAAGCTGAGAGGCAGGGTACTCTGGTCCCCGGTTTCTACAGAAGGCAGCAGAGTCTCAGGACTTAAAAAAAAATGAGCCTCGGGTCAGTCTGCTGGAGCTGGCTGAACCAGGACTTGAATGCTGGGCTCCACCTCCAAATCCGCTGCTCTTCATGCCTGTATTTCCTCACTGCCGGGTTTCTGTCCAGTGGGGAAGACGTGCAGGTCACCAGACAGTGGGAGCAGAGTGGGCAGGGCTGGGATGGAGGAGCCCAGCCTGCTGACCTGGCCTAGGGGTGGGGAGTCAGGGAGGGCTTTCTGGAAGAGGGGACATCAGAGCTGAGACCTGGAGGACAAGGAGAGAAGCAGGCTAAGTGAGAGAGGGAGAGTGTCTCCAGCAGAGGGCACCATCGGTTATGCAGAGGCAAAAGAAGGCGTGAAGAATTAGATGGGAGTGGGGGCTGGATGTGGTTCAGACCGGGAGGCAGGTGAAGTTCAGGAGCCAGGGGTTTGGGTTGGCCGAATGAGAACCCTCGTTCTGCTACTTGCTCGGCGTGTGGCCTTGAGTAGCTGACTCCTCAGCAGTGGAAGCCAGGCCTGTGCTGGCCCTGGGCCTAGATGAGACTGTCTGTGGGCAGGGCTAATTCCAAAGAGCCTGGCAAGTCCAAGAGCATCAGGAGACGGGTTCTCACTGTCATAACTGGCAGTGTGAATGGGGAATAGAAACACGCAGAGTGGAGAGAATTGACGGATGGGCCTCAAGAAGGAATTCGGGCAGCACTTTCCTCTTTTCTTTAGCCCCCTTGTATATCATGTGCTTGCTACCCACCAGGACCCTGTGCCCTGTATGATCTTCTTACTTTTTAAAAAAAAAAATTTTTTTTAACGTTTATTTACTATTGAGAGACAGAGAGAGACAGACCGTGAGCAGGGAAGGGGCAGAGAGAGAGGAGGAGACACAGAAGCCGAAGCAGGTTCCAGGCTCGGAGCTTGTCGGCACAGAACCCCGACACGGGGCTCGAACTCACAAGCCAAGAGATCATGACCTGAGCCAAAGTCGGACGCTTAACCGACTGAGCCACCCAGGCGCCCCCTGTATGATCTTCTTATTCAAGCCTCACAGGAGCCCTGTGAGTTGGCATTTCAGATCCCCGTTTCATAGAAGAGCAAACAGACTCAGGGGAAGCCAACCTGCCTGGGCCGTGGTTGGGAGTGGCAAAGCCAGGATTTGAACTGAGTTTATCTGCTGCCTCCCTCCGTGCTGTGTTCTACACACTCCTATCTGTACTGACTGGCCCCTGGTTTTATACGTATGGCCCTCCTCCTCATCCCCAGTCTCCTTCCAGGTCCAGGAACTGATCATCAACAAAGATCCCACACTACTGGACAACTTCCTGGACGTGAGTGACCAACGGGAGAGAAAAGGTGTGGGTGTAGGGGGAAGGGGAAGGATCCTGGTGCAACCCCGACCCACCTTCCTGATGTTGGCAGGAGATCATCGCTTTCCAGGCGGACAAGTCAATTGAAGTGCGCAAATTTGTCATCGGCTTCATCGAGGAGGCATGGTACGGGGTGGTGCAGGGAGCCCCCGGGAGCACCCCTGGTGGAGACCGCCTCTTCAGCTCCCTGCCTGGCCCTACCCTCTGCTTCTCAGACCCATTTTTCCCTCCTACGTGCACTGATTCCTCAGCAAATATTTAGTAAGGCCAAAATCTTGGAGTCATTCATGATTCGTCTACTTCTCCCACACTTCACATCTACATCATCAGTAAGGACTGTTGGCTCTACCTTCAGAATTTAAACAGTATCTAACCATTTTTCAACCACTTCCTGGGCCATTAGGCTGCTCTAAGCCACCATTACTTCCTCCCTAGATGACTTCAGGGAGGGGCCTTTCTGGTTCCCCTGCTTCCACTTTCTCTCCTGTTTAATTGAACTGAAATTCACATGACATAAAATTGACTACTTAAAAAAAATTTTTTTTAACGTTTACTTCTTTTTGAGAGAGAGAGACAGAGCGTGATCCGGAGAGGGGCAGAGAAAGAGAGAGAGGGAGACACACCAAAGCGGGCTCCAGGCTCCGAGCTGTCAGCACAGAGCCCCATGCGGGAGTTGAACTCACAAACCGTGAGATCAGGACCTGAGCCGAAGTCGGACGGTTAACCGACTGAGCCGCCCAGGTGCTCCCAAATTAACTATTTTTCAGTGAACAGTTCAGTGACATTTATAGTACATTCACCCATCTAGTTCAAACATTTTTATCCTTCCCAGAGGAAATACCATAACCATTCCCTGCTTCCTTCTTACAGCAGCCAGAGTGATCCTGTTAAAATGTCAGTCAGATCTTGGGGCGCCTGGGTGGCGCTTGGTCGATTCAAAGATGTCGACTTCATCCGAATTCACGATCTTCGCTGGTCCGTGAGTTGAGCCTTTGTCGGGCCTCCTGGGCAGATGGCTCAAGCCTGGAGCCTCTAAATTCTGTGTCTCCCTCTCTCTCTGCCCCTCCCCCGTTCATGCTCTGTCTCTCTCTGTCCCAAAAATAAATAAACGTTGAAAAAAAAAAAAATTAAAAAAAAAAAAGTCAGATCTTGGCAGTCCCCTGCTGTCAGACCTCCACTGGCCCACTGTCTCACCTAGATTGAAACCCAGTCTCTTCCCCCTCACGTCATCTGCTCCTGGTGGCCTCTCTGGTCTTCATTCCTCATCCTCCATTTAGCCCTTCCCCAGATTGTTTCCTTAAAAACTCTGTTCTCTCAGCTTGCTGTACCTGCAAAGGATGCTCACCCCCCAGGCCCCGCCCTGGGATCCACCTGGCTCGCTCCTTCACTTCCCTCTGGTCTTCCTCAGTAAGCCTTTCCTGGCCGCGCCAGTCCGCTGCCACACCTCTGGCATCCCCATCTGCACTGTTTTTTTATAGTGTTTTTACTAGTTGGAAATACCTTGACGCTTTTTCTTTCAAAAATGTCCACCCTGTGAGGACAGGCCTTCTCTGTGTTGTGGACCACTCTATCCCAGTGCCTGGAACAGTGTTGGCACGTAGGAGGAACTGAATACATACTGGTTGAACAGAAATTTCATCGCAGTGGTGACCACATGGCACGCTGACTGTGCCATGCCCTGTGTGAAAACCTCTCCTCTGTTTTCACTTGTCATCTTCGCAGCAGCCTTGGCTCTGTTACCCTCCTTTTAAGGGAACGGAAACGGAGGCTCAAAATGATAAAGTGATTTGTTCAAGCTGAGTCATTTGTTCATTCAGCATTTACTTGGTGCTTTGTGATGCAGGAAATAAAATAGCCCCTATTTAGTGACTGTTTTCTGTTTGTCAGGCACCATACTGAACGCTTTACCTAGTTACCTACTTTGATTCTCAAAACAACACCATGGATTAGTTATTTGGCCCATTTATCTCAAGACAAAACCGTGACTCAGAGAGGTGAAGTAAGTTTCCTAAGATCACACGGCCAGTATGTGGCGGGGCTGGGATTTTAACCCATATCTGTAATGCCATTGCCCAGATTCGTAATCGCCACCTTTTACTGGGAGAATATCTGGTAAATTTCCAGAGTTTGCAGAAAAACCGAATGTTCAGCAGGTACGTGCCAGGCATTTGTGTGAGGCTGTAGGAATACAACAGTGAGTAAGTAGGGATACTGTTTCTGCCGTGATGTAGCTGGCAGTTGAGTTTCACATTTTTTTTTGACCGATGAGCTTAATATTTGACTTCACGTTGTAGAATGTCGTGAAAATTACATTCATGACCTGAGCTCTAGGTGTGGCCTTCCTGAAGTTTTTAGTTCATCAAACAAATAACGTATTTCATTCTCAACAGAAAATGGGGCTCCACTAGGACTTTGAAAGGGTCCCCTGCTTTCAGAGCCCCCACATTGAGGTAAACAAATTAGTAAAGAAGACCAGTGATTACATAAAGCGAAGTGCTTTCTAGTAATGCCAGCCCGTATTTACAGATGCTTTCTCTCCTGTTCTAAGTACTTTACAAGTATTGTTGCAGTGTTCACAGCAAGCTGTGAGGTGAGCAGTATCCTAGACGAGACAGTTGGCTTGGCCAGATTCACACCGTTGTCTGGCGATGCCGTGCCTTACGTGAACAGCAGAGTCCTAACAGTGAAAGAGTGGGGTTTGCAGCACTAACCTACAGAGAAGGTTCATGGGTGGCTAAGTCTGAAGGTGCCAAGCATTGTTTGCTGACAGACAGGGCAGGTGCAGTCCCTGACTTTGCCCCGCCTCTACTCCAGTCTCCTGACATTGATCCCAATTTCCCTTTCCTCATGGACCCCAGGCTCCCATCACATACCCAAAGAACCAGCTTGCCCTTGCCATTTTTTCTCCATCCCCTAGCAAACGAGACATTGAGTTACTCCTGAAACTGATCGCAAACCTCAACATGCTCTTGAGGGATGAGAATGTGAATGTGGTGAAGAAGGCCATCCTCACCATGACCCAGCTCTACAAGGTGGCCCTGCAGGTAAGCGCTCCCTCCCACCGGGGGGCGTCCCGATCTGACAGGTCTCATTTATAGCCTCCTTGGTTAGACAGGGACAGCTGTGTTAAACCAGGGACGGGTCAAATTCTTCATGGGCAAGATGTGCTGTTGCTTTTTGGGAACACACAACAAAGGGGTCTAATGTCCTAATGGTCAGGGACTCCCCATTCATCCATCCATCCATGCATTTAACAAACATTCCCTGAGTACTTCCTCTGTGACTCACAGGGGCCTCAGTGGTGCTTATGGCCTAGTGAGAGAGACCGACTTGTGTCAAAAGCATCACAGAAATTTTAATTTTAGATCTAGTAAGTTCTATAAGGAAAAGAACACACTGTGATGTGGTATTCTTTAGCGTGAATGAAATAAATGAATCCATTTGATTTCCGCTGCCATGTCGTGAGGTCAGCGTTGTTATCCCTTTGTCGTAAGATTTGAGCCTCTTCACTCCGGGTTGTTAACCGTGCGTGAACCTCATGATGGCGGAACCAGACCTGTCGTGGTCATCACTGGGCCTTGTCCCCACCATCACCTAGCACAGGGTCTGGGGCAGAGGTGTAGCTCAGTAAATGTTTTCCAGATGAATGTATGCGTCATCATGTATGGACCTCTGAGTAATGATGGAGTTGGCGATGTCTTGTCCCCGTCCCTCTGTCCCTGTCCCTCTCGCAGTGGATGGTGAAGTCACGAGTCATCAGTGAGCTCCAGGAGGCCTGCTGGGACATGGTGTCCGCCATGGCTGGTGACATCATTCTGCTGCTGGATTCTGATAATGACGGCATCCGTACCCACGCCATCAAGTTTGTGGAGGGCCTCATTGTCACCCTGTCACCCCGCATGGCAGACTCGGAGGTGCCCCGCCGCCAGGAGCATGATATCAGCCTGGACCGCATCCCTCGTGACCACCCCTACATCCAGTACAGTGAGTGCCACCCATCAGCCCGTCCCATTTGTGAGTCACTCTACACCAACTACCTTCCTCCCCTTCCTCCGCCCCCGTTTTCTCTCTTAGTTTTTCATTTCTGGAGACAGTATAAGACGTTGGTTAAGAGCCCAGATGCTAGGGTCAAATCCTAGCTTCAACACTTATTATATGAACGTGGGCGAGTTACTTCTCTCTGAACTTCATTTCCTTTTCCACGGGTTTGTAGTGAGGTCCCATGAGGAGGTGAGCACTTAGTAAATGCTGGCTGGTTTTAAGAGTTTTCTTAAAAGTAGGCTCCATACCCAGTGTGGGATTTGAATTCATTACCCTGAGATGAAGAGTGGAATGCTCTACCAACTGAACCAGCCAGGCGCCCCTAAGTTTTTATGCTCATTAATAGTCCATCTCCTAGGACTCATCAGCCACTAAATTTTCTGGTGTTTTCCAGCCATTCTGAGCCATGTGGAAGGGTCTCTCCCCTTTTGGCCCCAAAGACTGCTTTCTCCAGAGGCCAGGGAGAAAGGCCCCTGCTAACTGGTTCTTTTCTCTCCCTCATTAGATGTGCTGTGGGAAGAGGGCAAGGCAGCTTTGGAGCAGTTGCTCAAGTTCATGGTGCATCCCGCCATCTCCTCCATCAACCTGACCACAGCTCTGGGCTCTCTTGCCAACATCGCCCGCCAGAGGCCCATGTTCATGTCAGAGGTGATCCAGGCCTATGAAACCCTGCATGGTAGGTTGGGCCACTGCCCTCCCACTCTCCACTGGCCAGTCTGCTCCTTCCTGAGAAAATGTGAGCCGGGTAGTGGGTCCCTGAGGGATTCATCATTCTGGTAGGTCTGGACACAGGAAGCATTCTTTAGACAGGAATCTTTGGTTGCATATGACAGAAACCTGGTTCAAAGCTGGCTTTAATATTAAGATATGTGTGGGTGAAATCATATGATGTCTGCTAAATACTTTAAAATATTCCAGACTCTCCCGCCCCCACCAAAAAAAAAAAAAAAAAAAAAAAAAAAAGAAAGAAAGGGCAGGGTAGATGTGCCAAGATAAGCAGAGTGTTGATGGGTACTTGGTTATTTGTTATACTCTTTTCTCTGCTTTTATGCATGTATGAAAACTGAAATGTCTGGGGTGGAGGCGTGAATATGTACAGATCAGGATCTGTCTCCATTTCTTGGCTCTTATTTTCTCCTTGTTGGCTTTGTTCTGTGTCACTTTCCTTGGGGTGGCAAAGATGGCCCCCAATACCTCCAAGCCTCCATTCTGTCCACTTGGCAACCCCAGGGGACAGAGTGTTTCCTTCCCAGTCATTCCATCAGAAGTCCAAGGGCTGATGCCCATTGTGCCTGATTGGCTGAGAAGACCCTGGTAACCTGTCTCTGAACCAATCACAATGCCCGAGGGATTTACATTGTTCTTACTGGCTCTGAGTCTTTTGCCCACTTGGACTGAGAATGGAGCCGGGGTGGTTCCCTCAAAGGAAAATGGGAGCACTGTTGGCTGATGAAGGAGGGAAGGATGCTGAGCAAGCAGAATTACAGGCATCCTCTTTCTCTCTAGAACAGGGAAGGTTTGCTCATGAAGGTGACTGTTAGACATTAGAATATCATTCTGGTGGCAGGGACCGACAAGGCACTGTTGACGGCAGTTCAGTTGGGACATTGTGGAGGTGAAGTTGGTGATGATAGCCTTCCCCGGGGGAGGCTTACTGGAATTTCCAGACCAGAGATGGAAGGAGATGAGACTTTATGTTTAATAGGAGAGAGGGTGAGCTTTCTTTTTGTTTTAAGGTTGACTAATCCCGATGGAGACCTCTTGAGGGTTTTAAGCATCAGCTCGTGCAGGGGGACGGCTGCACATGAGATCTGAAAGCGCAGGAACCTTCCTAGGGGGCGCCTGCAACCACTGCCCAAGCTGGGGACTCTGGAACTGAGCTTTGCAGGGCCCCATAAGCTCCGTCCACAGGACAGAGCCCCTGCTTCTTTCCTCACAGCCAACCTGCCCCCTACGCTGGCCAAATCCCAGGTGAGCAGCGTGCGCAAGAACCTCAAGTTGCACCTGTTGAGTGTCCTGAAGCACCCGGCCTCCTTGGAGTTTCAGGCCCAGATTACCACCCTGCTGGTGGACCTAGGCACACCTCAGGCTGAGATTGCCCGCAATATGCCCAGCGGCAAGGATGCCCGCAAGCGGCCCCGGGACGACTCAGATTCCACGCTCAAGAAGATGAAGTTAGGTGAGCCGAGGAGCTGAGCCAGGCCTGGTGAGGGGTGGGGGCAGGGACTGGCCGCGTTTGCAGTATTCAGTTACTTACGTTCAACCGTCAGCTTTATTTATGTTGGTTAATATTACATTGTAAATTATAGCGTTTAGATATGACCTAGCAAATGATATCAAAATAGAATTATTGAAGAATTACGAATTGCTTAAATCATGCAGAAGGTGAATAAACTGAAAAGTCTCCCTCTTGGTCCTCTCCCCAAAAGTAACCACTCCCTAAGTAGTAACACTTAGGTTTTCTTTCAGAAATACCTCTGAGTTCTTCTTTGCTTTGTTTCCTTTATAATTGGATTTGTTTTCTGAAGTAATTTTTTTTTTCTAAGTTTTTTTTTTTAACATTTATTTATCATTGAGAGACAGAGAGAAACGGAGCGTGAGCAGGAGAGGGGCAGAGAGACACAGGGAGACACAGAATCCGAAGCAGGTTCCAGGATCTGAGCTGTCAGCACAGAGCCTGACGCGGGGCTCGAACTCACAAACCGCGAGATCATGACCTGAGCCGAAGTCGGACGCGTAGCCGACTGAGCCACCCAGGCGCCCCTGAAGTAATTTTTTAATGGTTGTATTATTTTGTCAATGGTGTGAACCATGGCAGACTTTCTTACTATAAAACTTTTCTTTTTAAATCACCGATGTTCAGTTCTAGAACATTTATGAAAGAATTAGATTTTCTTTTTTAAAGAGGCTCCACGCCCAACATGGGATTTGAACAAGAATCAGATGCTTTACTGACTAGAGCCACCCAGGCGCCCCAGATTCCAAGCAGGCTTCACACTGTCAGCGTGCAGCCCAGTACAGGGCTTGAACTCACAAACCGTGAGATCATGACCTGAGCTGAAACCAAGAATCAGATGCATGACTGAGCCACCCAGGCGCCCCTTTTCCCCGTTGTAAATACT